CTCTCTCTCTCTCTCTCTCTCTCTCTACTTTTAGCACAACATTACCCATTCCTAAATTCCAGAAAAACACTCACACAGCTTACATGACCAGGTCAGGAATAACATACGCAAAAGCGGTACCATAACTACACACAGTCACACGACACGACAGAATCGAATTAACCGATGAGTTAAATGAACTCCAGTACGCAGATCTAAATCTGTTTTTCAACATCATCTCACTCATACAAAAATGCACAAATAACCTAGACAGAGTCAAAGCCACCATTCAAATAGTCATGGAGCTTGAAAATGGTCAGCCTTAAAAATCACCTATCATCTTATGGAACGCTACGAGCAGAAATAAAGCAGCGGAGCTACACAATTCTTCACAGAACAAAACACGGACATTACCATTATTACAGAAATCAGCTAACCTGCCAAAGAAATCCTAAAAGTCCCAAATTGTACCCTACACAGAAAACTAACACCAACAAATCCAGAGATGGAGTATACATAGCAATGTACATAGCAACGAAACAGTATCCCCGCTGAGGCCATTCCACAACCGGCATATCCCAATATTAAATTCCTATCAATCAAGGTCAAAACCACTCCATACTTCATAATAGGGGCGGCGTACGCACCCCCAAAAAACAAAATTCTAACAACCGACTCCATTATCCCATGGGACACTTTATCATAGGCGCAGAACACCGCGTGCAAAACAACCTCCGGAGAAACCAAAACAGATCTACTATCAAGAACCATGCGAAACTGTATCAGAGTCCAATCTGCATTTATTATATAATATTCCCTATCAACATATGTGCCAAACTATAAACGATCTATCGTCCAACCATCTCCCGGTACGCTATCGCTGCAAACAAGCAGAGATACAACATAACCATACATGACAAAACTGACCGACTGGAACATGTATGCCAAACATTGCAACGAACTAAAGGTAAATCCGCATCTTCAGATCACGACCGATATAAACACAGAACTGGGGGCTCTCAATCACTAGATCTAAACAGCATTTCACAAAGCTACCCGCGACGCATCATCACTAGATCACAACGCCACCCCGGACAGAGTACTGCAGAAACTAATTAAGGAAAGAAATAGACATAGAAGAATACCAAAGGTCTGGTAACCTCATACATAAGCTCTACAGAAACTTACTTTATAGCTCCCTAAAAATAACAGAAACTAGAAACAAAATCTGGTAGGATAAACATACCATACATAAAATGGATCATACATAATGAACAGTATACATAAAATGGATCATACCCTCTAGCATACAAGATCACAAGAAAAGCAAAAAGCCTCTTATCAATCTTGCAAGATCTCAACAATAACGCAAGCGAAGAAAACCCCGAAAGCCTAGCCCAAAGCTTTCTCGAAGTCTACAATCAAAGTTCTGAAACAATACCTTCATAGAAGAAGATATAAAATAACAATCAGCCATCATAACGCAAACTCTAACGACGCAAATAAACGCTTCTAAATGCACACATGATGGTCAAGATAATTAAAAATCTTCCTTCTAACAAAGCCCTAGGACCGGACAAAATCACTGCAGTCCAAGTACAGAAACTCACGAAACACCAGTAGTACTTTAAAAGAACTCTACCCACTCATTGCAAAAAACAGCCGACTGTTTCTTTGCCGAAAGATATCCATCAAGATAAAACTTTACGTATTATGTGTATCATAACTTATAGATCATAACCTATGGAAATCTGGGCAGCAGCAGCTAACATGTTTATTAACAAAGTGCAGAAAATCCAAAACAAATTCCTCCACATAATACTGTATAAACTTCAAGATACAACTCCACCAAACAACCAAAATTCCAACAATGACCAACTTCATTGCGAACTCACTTAACTCAGCTTATAATCCGCACCACCCAAACCCATTCATAAGTAACACGGGTAACTATGGGGGTATACGATATCAATGACAGCTTCCTAAAGATTAAAATAAGACCTATTCACAACATAGCAAAACTCCTCCACGTCGCCACGTCAAAAAATTCACACAAGCGGAATAGGTTTTTTGAAATTTTTCCTACAAACCGACATATAATGAATCGCGTTCATCTTACCTTTCAGGCAACAAAATTTAAATTATCTTACATTGTACATGCAAGGGTTATCAAATCCCAGGAATTGCAGAAACCAACATGGTCATAAAAGGTAGAAAAAAGAAGACGCTGCCGTTAGTATAATAGTATATAGTCAATAAAGCAGCACACAATAGCTAGCAAGTCACAATATAACGAAGACACGGCCTCATCGTGGATTTCTAAAATTGTGGATTTACTAATTTACAAATTTTTAAAATTATTTAAAATATCTGTAATGTATAGACCAGATAACTAAAAGATGAAATTAAATTTTTTTCTTTTCTATTTATTTAAACCAAAAATTGTAAAAAAATTTAATGTAGAATAAACGTAGGTAAATTGTAGATTTTCATGTTTTTAGAAAAAATTGAAATATGCAAAAATACATAAATATATAAAATATTGAAAACAAAGTATTTATTATAATATTTATAATATGGTTGAAACAAATTTTTATCGAGAAATAAAATTCGCAGTATATTAATAGTTGAGTACATCGCAAGGATAATTAAAGAAAATTTATTCTTATATAAGGGATAATGATAATGAAAACTAAATGTGTGATATGAAGATCTTTAATTTCATGGTAATAATCTTCTTCCCCTTTTCAGGTGTTTAGAGGAAAAAGAAAAAATTTATTCCTCAACTTTTTAATGTAATTAAATGATATTTAGGAACTTCTAATATTTTCTAAAAAAAAACTCATCAATATCATTGCGTAACATTTCTAAAAGATTGTGCGCTGGATAT